CAACCTAAGACACCTCCTCCATACCCATATTTGTGGAAACTGGGCATGGCCTCTGATGTACAGGACTGGACATGACCAGACATATTCTATTGGCTATGGCATAAGACACACCATGTTTGTGTAAAAAGGACATGACCCCTACTCTGCAGGACTTGCAGGGGTTCTCGGCTATGACATAACCAACCTTTTTGAGGCCTCAATGTATTTCTCCTTAAGTCAGGAGCCCCCCTCCCTGTGTACTGCTGTGAGGGGAGAGGGAAGAAACTGCCTCGTCTCTTATCAGTGACACCCATTAATCATAATAGGCCTCACACTCAATTTAACAAACCACTTGTGTTTTGTTTATACTGTACATTTAGAACATCATAAAATATGAAGCATTTTCATTGTGGGTTATACAAGAATATAATTGATTATATATGATTAAAATGAACTTTCGTTTTAAGTATTCATCCTAATATGAAGATCTCAACAACACCCAGGGTCCTATCAGAAACATCCTATCAGAAACAATGCGCAACGTGTTTTGGACGAAATATGGTCTGTGGGTGAGCTGTTTGGTATTTTGGGCAAAACACTTCAGAGACTTGTTTTGTATAGATATGGCCCTATAAGATAAGATAAAATGCAACTTTATTGTCATATAGTAACATACTAGTAACAAAACTAGTTCCCTCCTCACCTCATACCTGAAAGACCGTACCTACAGGGTGACTTGGAGAGGGTCTGAGTCCGAGCCTTGTCAATTAACTACGGGGGTCCCTCAGGGCTCTGTTCTTGGTCCCCTCCTCTTCTCCCTGTACACAAACTCGCTCGGATCAGTCATTAGCCCGCATGGTTTTTCTTACCACTGCTACGCTGACGACACCCAATTAATTCTGTCCTTTCCCCGCTCAGAGACCCAGGTCGTCGCACGCATCTCTGCTTGTCTAGCTGACATCTCTCAGTGGATGTCTGCTCACCACCTCAAGCTCAACCTTGACAAGACTGAGCTGCTCTTCCTCCCGGGAAAAGATTGTCCAACTCTTGACCTGACAATCAACATCGGCACCTCAGTTGTTTCCCTGACTCAGACTGCAAGGAATCTGGGTGTGACCCTAGATAACAACCTGTCCTTCACTGCAAACATCGCTGCTACAACCCGTTGCTGCAGATACACGCTTTACAACATCAGGAAGATACGTCCCCAGCTGACTCAGAAAGCGACTCAGGTTCTGGTCCAGGCTCTCGTCATCTCACGCCTAGACTACTGCAAACTCCCTCCTGGCTGGTCTACCTGCATGTGCCATCCGACCTCTGCAGCTCATCCAGAATGCAGCGGCTCGTCTGGTTTTCAACCTTCCTAAATTCTCCCACACCACTCCGCTCCTCCGCTCCCTTCACTGGCTTCCGGTAACTGCTAGAATCCACTTCAAGACACTGGTACTTGCTTACCATGCTGCAAATGGATCTGGCCCTTCCTACATCCAGGACATGGTTAAACCGTACACCCCAGCGCGTGCACTACGCTCTGCATCAGCCAAACGACTCGTTTGCGCCCTCGCTGCGAGGGGGACCCAAGTTCCCATCGGCGAAAACACGTGGGTTTGCTGTCCTGGCTCCAAGATGGTGGAATGAGCTCCCCATTGACATCAGGACGGCAGATAGCTTGCACATCTTCCGGCGCAAACTGAAAACTCATCTCTTTCGACTCCACTTCGAGCGTTAGAACTATTAACGAAGCACTTTTATACTAATAAAGGACTGGCTTACCTAAAGCCAGTTGAGTAGCACTTGAAATGTTTGGCTCTATGAAACCTGATGTACTTATATGATTCTGTTTTCTTCAAGGTTGTGTCTTCCTGGTCGAATGTACTTATTGTAAGTCGCTTTGGATAAAAGCGTCAGCTAAATGCAATGTAATGTAATGTAATGTAAAAACGGTTTCTCTGCATTTGACCCATCCTAGTGTTAGGAGCAGTGGGCTGCCATTATGTACGGCGCCCGGAAATATATTGTTCAAATAAAGCATAATAGGTGAGCTTTAACACAAATATTTTTATTTGTTTTCATACCTCAGCCTGTCCTCCTACAAAAAACGACCATATAGGCCGATTGTTCATGCACTTATTACGACCCAGAGACACGTTTTAAAGTGTATGTTGTTTCTTACACGACCACTAGAGGTGCTCTGGTCGTGTAAGAAACAACATGCTCCCGGCCCGTTCATTGCAAACGCTCCGGAGCGACGTTTATTCACAAATAACCCTCTCTGGAAAATCCTAAATTGTGGAATAGTTTGGCCATTAAAATGCTTTTTGATTCGATTTCTGGTGAGAAGTGTATATTGTACTCTTAGAATCCACGTCCAGTGGATGTGTAGGATCTATAGTTTGATAGATATTACGAAGATGATCTGAGATCTCGTCAGGATAACGTGTATGTAGATTCCATGTAAAGTTAGCGTGGGTGAAAACAGTTTTTCGGGTCTCGAAGTTTTCATAATAAAACCGGATATATTCCCCTCACTGTCAAATGATTACACAGTGATATCTGCATTACTCATCCACTAACAAACATCAGTTTATCCTTGTTAATTACACAATATTGATTGGTTTAAATGGTGTACAATGCTTTTGTGTTTTTAACCTTCGATTCAGAGAAACAAATAGTTTTTTGGGAGTTTAGACACTACAGTTTCCGAAGACACTACACTACCCAGAATCCCCAGCTATCGTTTGGGACTACAATATCCGCCTTGCTTTAAAAACCCTGTGATTAGTCATCAAGCCCTGTGATTGGATGTTAGAGTGGCAGTGCGACAAGGTTACGCTGAGCGTCAAACAGCTCTATGAAATGGAATGGAACCACGGCAGACTATCCAAAACTGGAATTGGACGGGTCCAGCCCCCGTCTCTTTATAAGACGTTTTCGTATTTCCCACAATTAGAAGTTGCCAGTATTAATCTGTGTACACCCTGGAGGTTTAGGGGATACAAAACACAGTGGTGTTATCACATTTAAAACATATAATTAATACATGGGTGAATTAATATACCCACATGACACCTAAGTTCAGAAGAGCTTTATTTAACAGCTGGTCTTATGTCTGTGACCCCTCCTGTTGGTAATTGATAAGCCTGAAACATGCACTTGTCAAGGTTCAGAGGCACATTTTGCACATATGGCAGTAGCCATCGATCATCTTAACATAAGATACTTTATTGATCCCAAGTTGGGAAATGTTTTTGTTACAGCAGCATGTACTACTTTGTAATTCTATTCCACTACAATTCAGAGGTTAACCTGGTATTTTTACTCTACTACATTTATTTTAGTTACTTTGCAGATTCTGATTAATGATGTGAAATATAAACAACCCTTAAATCAGACTTTAGTTACACCTGACTCAAATTCAGGGAAGGTGATTGTCAAGTGCCAAAATAAACTATGCAATATATTGGACGTTCAGTACTTTGTCAGACTTCATATTTATCTGTGGATAACCCCAACGTTTTTTTCTTATTCAAAAGAAGACCTTGACTTAAAGTATTCTTTAATGTTTAAATAAAGCCTTATTAGTTTGTCTGTTTTGCACATCCTCCTGTTAATATATTTGGATGTCCTGCACTAAACTGTTTTATTGTAGCGATCACTACAGTATCTTCTTGATACTTTCTATTCTATATTTCTATCATGCCTTCTACTTTCCCCCAATTTTGTATGTAGGCTACTCTTAATATTTAAATGTTTTCATCAAATAAAACTCATTCAACCACAAAATTCAATAACGTGCTTTAACCACTAGGCGGCACGGGTTAAAAAACCAGTGGTGTAGTTAATAAAACATAATAATATCAAACATAATATGACTATTAACTTCATTGTGAAATTAAAACAGAACGGTAAAGGAAAATACAGTTTGGCGGCATTTCTTACAGTTTGTCAAAAGGTCTTCTGATCAGGGCTCTATAAATACATATCTACGGCAGATATGTAATATTTAATGCAGCAGAACTGTGTATTACAATGCCGTCATGTGATGACTTCCAAAAAGAAAAGCAAGAACACTCGGCATAAAGTATTATTTTATGTTTTAAAAATGTTTTTCCGATTTCATATCACATAAACACCATATCCCGACATGCATTGCAGCTAAAACAATGGATATTTTCATCAAAACCTCTGAAAAAAGAAAGCTGTCTCTCAGAATCGAAAGAGAAAAACCTATGGGAAAAACACAAAAGCATTGTACACAATTTAAACCGATAAATGTCGTATAATTAACAAGGATAAACTGATGTTTTTTAGTTGATGAGTACTGCAGATATCACTGTTAAATCATTTGATCATTGGTTTTATTATGAAAACGTTGAGACCGGAAATACTGTTTTCAACCCGTAACTTTACATGGAGGCTGCCGCATACCTCAAATCATCTTCGTAATATCCATCAAACTATAGATCCTACATATCGACTGGACGTGGATTCTAAAAGTACAATATACACTTCTCGCTAGAAATCTAATCAAAAAGCGTTTTAATGGCCAAACTATCCTACAATTTAGGATTTTACAGAGAGGGTTATTTGTGAATAAACAACCATCTGTAACGTTTGCATTCAACGGGAGCACTAGAGGGCGAACACTTTAAAACATAATTATAGAATGTATTAAGCGCTTGAACAAACGACATATTTGGTCGTAATAAGGGCCTGAACAATCGGCCCATTTGGTCGTATGAGTTGGAGGACTTGTTGGAATACCTAATCCACTACTCCCGCCCGTTTTAGGAACATAGCAGTGGGTGATTATTGGATGTATAATTGCAAATAAAACATTTTAAGGATCTATTTTACACTCACATCTGTTTTTGCTCTAAATATGACTGTTATTACAACAAAGCATAATATAAATGAATAGAATAAATGTCTCAAGGAAAGGCATTTTTTAGTTTGTTGATCTACTATATTTCATGAGAATATTTATGTAAAACACTGACAATTATTTCTTTTTTGTAAAGGATATGATGACTTCCATAAAAGTTCAGGTGAGCAAATCTACCAAAGACGCCTTTTCAGGCCAAAACACAGCCTCTATCAAGGATCAAACTTTTGAAATTCTATCGGACAGAGACGGCATGGAAGATGCAATTACAAAATAAACGATATCTTTGCAACAATCTAAAACATTTGCAGACCGGCATCTAATTGAGGATATAAAGAAGCAGATGCAGACAGAACTTCAAGAAAAAACAATAATGGATGAAGAAAAGACAAAACTTGCAATACGTGTAGGAAACGAAAGGGAAGTGAAGAACCAGATGTGCAAACTCAAGAATAGAGAGGAGGAAATAAGGGAGCAAATAAAGTTTGCTATGGAAAACATGGAGGAAGAAAGTCAAGAGATTAAAAAGCTTATTATATATATAAATGACCTGCAGAGCCAGAAACCAGAGACTGAAAATTGGTTACGAATTACAGGCAGGGAAAGCACCACAGATGAGATCGTCAAATTTGAAGTAAAAGTTCAAAAACAGGAGAACGGCAAAGGGGTGGAAAAAGAAGTTGTTAATAATGTTCATGAGCAAAAACAAAGTCTGGATTCAACACAATATATGCAGACCAATACTGATAAGATAAAGGAAGGGTTTGGTACAAAGGACACAGGAAGTGATGATATTCAAAGATTTATAAAACACAAAAAAACATTAGACTAGTTAACCTAGATCTTGACAACCAAGCTGAAGAAAGCCATATCAACCAAGATCATAAGGATAAAGACGGCACAATTGAAGGATTGCTACAAGAACTGAAAAGATTCCAAGAGCTTTTAAAAATGGTACAAATAGCAATAAGGCAAAGAGAAATGCATCTGAAAGAAGAAATCAGCAACATGAAATCAAGGAAAACTACAGCAAAAATACAGGAAAGAAAACTGGATCAGAGGTTAGAGAAAATGATGAGAGACCGAGATGAATTTGAAGTTTTAAAAATAAAAACACAGAAACAAACTGAAGTTAGAAGAAAACTAGCTAAAGTTAAGGGCACCATAGAGAAAGTCGCAGCTAGGACTAGACAGAAAAGTCAGGACATAGATATTGTTAGGAAGGAGACATGCTTTCAACACTGAATTCAGGCAGCAAGAGGACAGAGAATTTCCCTTGGAAAGTATTGAGACACTGAAGGGAGACAAAAATAAACATGACAGAATGGAAACAGACACACACATGGACAACATGCCAGAGAAAATAATGGGTAAGGATATTGAGGAAATGAAACATGACATCATTAGACTTATATCAGAACAGGAGAAACGTGAGAAAGAAATGAAACTGACACTGGATCAGAAAAACTGTGAAATTGAAAAACTGAAAGAGTCTGTAACTGAACAAGTGAAACTAGAGACTGAAAGTAAAGAGATTGAGATCCTCAAACAACGGATTCAAGTTGAGAGGGAGAGTGTGATAATAGAAAGAGAGCAAGCTGAGGCAGAATCATATGAAATTAACTGTTTAAGGGAGAGTATAAAAAGAGAGAAACAGAAGCTTGTTGACAGAACAAAAACTACCAAAAGAGAAATAAGAGAAATGGAGATTCTGAGGTCAGAGCTGGAAATAAAGAAAAAAGAAAGTGACCAGATATTTAGAAGAAATATGCAGAAAAAGTGGAATCTCATACAAAGAGAAAAGGGAGAATTGAGAAGAGAGACCAAAAAGATGAGAAGAGAATTAGACCAAAGACTGGAAGAAATCAAGAGAGAGAGGTATGAGTCAGAAATATTCTGGATAAAACTGCAACGGCAGAAGGATGAGATGGCTGAGGAAAAGCAGAGAGTCAAAGAACAAACCACTGATAAAGGAAAAGTAGAGAGTCAAAGAACAAACCACTGATAAAGGAAAAGCAGAGAGTCAAAGAACAAACCACTGATAAAGGAAAAGCAGAGAGTCAAAGAACAAACCACTGATAAAGGAAAAGCAGAAAGTCAAAGAACAAACCACTGATAAAGGAAAAGCAGAGAGTCAAAGAACAAACCACTGATAAAGGAAAAGCAGAGAGTCAAAGAACAAACCACTGATAAAGGAAAAGCAGAGAGTCAAAGAACAAACCACTGATAAAGGAAAAGCAGAGAGTCAAAGAACAAACCACTGATAAAGGAAAAGCAGAGAGTCAAAGAACAAACCACTGATAAAGGAAAAGCAGAGATGGATGAAATGGTCAGCATGAAAGACAGTATCCAAAAACAAAAAGAGGGGCTTGAAATCCGACTAGAAGAAGTTAAGAGAGAAAAAAGGGAGGTTGAAGCGTTGAAGTGTGAGTTGGAGAACAAAATAACTGAAAATCAACAGATGATTCGACGAAGCATTCAAAAAGAGCAGGATGTAAAAAATGTGTTGGCTCAGCTCGAAGAAGAAAAACATGCTTTCAAGAGGGAGGTACAGAAGAGGAGAAAAGAGCTTGACCAGCGATTGGAGAGAATACACAGAAAGAGGGATGAACTGGAGATCATGCAACTGAAGCTGCAGAGAGAAAGCGAACAGAGCAAAGGTGGAGCTGTAGTCTCCAGCATGGCCACAGCACCACAAGTTCAAAATTCAATTCAAAAGCACTGGGAGCTAATTCAGAAAAGTATTGAGAAAAAACTGATTGAAGAATGGAATGGAGAAGTGACAGATGAAAACCAGCACATAGTGGACCAGGCGGAAAAAAACATAACCCAGAGAAGAGAAGACGTAGGAAATATCAAGATTGGGATTAAAAGACAGAAAAAAAGAATATGTGCTTTAAAGAGCATGAAAAAAAAGCAAAGACATTTGGAGCAGGAGGAGGTGAGTATCATACAAGAGAGAAAGGAAGAGCTAGGGGAAGAGGATCTCAGAACTGAGGCATTGATGGTCAAAGATGAAGGCCAGAGAGAGAAAAAAAAAAGAGAGAAATTAAAAGGCCGAATAATGATATTGTAAATCAGAAAAGACAAAAAATCCCGAAAACTTCAAATCTTCAAAAGGAACAAATTGAGCCGGAAAAGAAAAAATAACTGGAATTGGATGAAGAGGGGAACAATTGTGCAAATGAAATCGAGCTTCTAAAAAAACAAGCACTGATAAGAAATTCAAATATGGAGGGTGAAAATGTGACAAAGCAGAGTAATCTAAACCTTGCTGAAAAACATTTAGATTAAAAAAAACTAGATGAAGAGCTGAAGAAAGAAAGAGAGGACCTGGATAGAGAGAGTGAGGTGATGAACAAAGAGAACCTGGACTTTGATTTGATCAGGTCGGACATCCTGAAACAAAGGGACATGTTGGAACAACAGAGACAAGATATTAAAGAAGAAACAGAGACATTTGAAATCACAAAGACTGATCTTCAAGTGTTGAAAGAACATGAACGAATTCAGTTTGATGAGATTAACAAAGAGAAAGAACTACTGGCTCAAATCAAGACAACCATTGAGAGTGAGATGGAATTGTTAAGTGAAAAAAGGAGGATGGAAGGAGAACTTTCTGATACGAAAACAAAAGAGGACTGGCTTATCAGGTCCGTAGGAGGTATAAGAGTACAACTCAAACACCTTAATCAAGTGAGCAATGAAGTCTTTACAAAGAATATTGAGGTGTTAGGGCAGAAATATATTGACATGCTCCAATTAAACTTACTATTGGAACACAAGTTTAAGGAATTTGATAAAAAGAGAAAGGAGATTACTAATTATTATGATCTGATACAAACAGATAAAAACAACATTGTGAAAGTGAAATTTGACAAGGTTGTACAAACAGAGGTGGCATGGCAAAAATTGCATGAGCAAGAGCCATGTGTTGAGAAACAGGTTTTGAATAAACGTGAAGACTTTAAATGTCATGTTGTTATGCAGCCAGATTTCACAATCCAGACTGAAACAATTGATCAGCAGAAGTTCAAAGGAGATAAACATGATCTTAAAATAAAAAATAAATACTTGAAAACGGATATCGATGTTCTAGTGATGGATAAAGAATATGAAAAAAATAAACAACTATCAGCTTCAGAACAAGATTATTTTACAGACAAGAAAAGATCAAAAAGGGATTGTTTGCGAAAGATCTGGAAGGACACTAAAATGGAACGAAAGGAGATCTATCAAATGAAGATCATGAGCCATGAAATGAGAAATAACCTAGAGAAAAGACTAAAGTTGATCAACGAGTTTGTGAGGAGGCCATGGTTACAAGAAAATGAATCATTGGAGAAGGAGCTCAAACAAGAACTAGGTAAGGACATGACATCCCAAAGTGACTGGAAGATAGACCGCACAATGCTTGATTTAAGACACACACAGCTCCAACAACTTAAAGCTCAAAAGCTCACTAAAATTGTCAAACTCTCTGACAAAGAAAAAGTGTTGAGGCCAAAGAGAACTACCAACAATGATCAAACATTAAAGGTCAATGTAACCACAGAGGACGTACAGGTAAAAAAAGGAGAAGCTTCTGCAACAATGTATAAAGAACAGACAAAAGTAGGAGAGAAGAAGGCAGCTCCAGAGACTTCCAGTGGACTCCTCAGTCAGCTGCAGCAATACTACCGATGCTGCTGCCACTGCTGCTGCAAGCAAGTCTGCCAGGAGTAACACTGAGAGACACGTCTGTGTTTCTGTCATGATAACTTAAATGTAGATAGCATGATATATTATTTATACTTTTCTTACTTTTGCCGTAACACAAGGATGAAACCTGAATATTTGTTACATTGGCTGCCAGCAGTTCTGGTCTAGCAGTCCAGATAGAGAAGACATTGAAAATGACGGCTTGACGTTTCCATATATATAACAATGACTTAAGCGAGATTAAACTACTCGTTCAACCCTTTTAAAACCATTATATACACCAGGGGTACTCAAATACAAATCTTAAAGGTCCAAAATAAATGTTTCAATAAGACAAAGGTCCGTTTATTACGGTCATTCAAACTTTTAAACAATTGTAACAAGATTCTTAACACGAGGTTGCAAAAACTAAAATAATCTGTATGCAGCAGTTTTCATTGTTATTGTGTCTGTGCTTGATCCCTCAGAGTCGCAGTGTAAGAGCTGCACAGTTATGAATAAAGGCAGCTGCACCCTCTTTCATTCAGCATTCCCATTAGTGCTTTATAAATGTCTTGCCCCCCCCCCCCCCACCCCCTTGTGTGTCCACTGAGGTTCGTCAGGCCCAACACATCTTCAACAAACTCCCCCTTTGCCTCATCATAAAAACTCACAAACACCAGCAACTGAGCATTGTCAGTGGTGTCAGTGGACTCACCCACAGCTAAGGAAATGCACTGTGCATTTTTTATTCCATCACAAAGCTGATGAATCAAATCACCAGCCAGTGTTTATGTTCTTCTGGTTGCTGTGGAATCTGAGAGGGGGATTTGCTTGACCTGTTATTTCCTCTTTGTGTTTGCCTTCAACATGGTCTCCATCACTTCAGTCATGCATTCTTTTATACTTCAGTTATTATCCAGTGGAAAGTCCTTACCTACTGGTCTAGTTAAATCAAAGTGGTTATTTTTTTTTGGCTGGGCAGTGTAGTTTTACACACCGTCTTATTTGACTTTCTCAGGACTTAAAACAGTTTTTTGGGGGCAGACCCCCTCAAAGAATAAAATATATTTACACACGTAAGGTCATCATCTTAACAGTTGTGTATGCTCATCCGTGAGCAGAGCATCAAGTTGACATGTCTGTTACAGCTGAATGCGGCGATTACCATTTTGTTCAGCAAAACGCCTCACAAACGTATTAAGATCAACAGCTTTAGTGCGTTTTGATTCAATGCTGAGTACAGCCAAACTGACAGTCTCTTCTCTGTCATTGTAGACCGCAAATACCTCATTCAGTGCTTGGGTCCGAATGCTTCTCGTTTTGCGCCGTCCTGTTCAAATGAAATCGCCGCCAATCATATGTCCACGCTCACGCCAGGACCGGGGGAGGGGTTACATGACGTGCATCTTGTGCTGCATTCACTTGCACTCGGACATTAGAGACTTTCTCTCATAAATGTCCGATGAGCCACAACTTTTCTTTCAAAACAAAGCTGCCAACTGGGGTGGCAGCTGGGGTGGCAAGGCCTATTTTTAGGGTGTCAGTTGCCACCCCGGTAGGTGAAACTAGGCTACTAGCTACAGTACAGATGGAACTAGATGAGCTGTTAACTCTCGCTCTGAATTTTTTTTTTAAACTCTCGCTCTGACTCAGACAGGTTGAAAGAGACACACACATTTTTCCCACCCGCATTCCGCGAAGACCCGCCCTACTGTGCCTCTGATTCGCAGATTGTTTGGGGGGGGGGGGGGGGGGGGGGGGACGCTGACGGGATGCTGAATGTGATTGGACCAAAGCGTTGACAGACACACACAGACAGTGGAACAGGACATGCAGGGTGCTGTTTGCAGTCTATGGACATAGCGGATCATTTTGACTCGTTGCGTTGTGGCGATGTCTCGCAGATAACACAGATAATACAGATAATCAACCCAGTCTCACGGCATTTCGTGTTCACCAACACGATTTTGAATCTATTGATTCGTGTTCACCAACACGATTTGCCCCTTTTTTTTCGTGTTGCACAGCACGATTTTAAAAGCAATGTATTTCTACTGCCTGCAACACGTATTTTTCTCCGGTCGGGTCGAGGAAGACCGGAAGCTGTGTGGTTCATAAAAACATGTTCTTACTCAATATCAAGCCACAATTATTGCTTTTATTTGAAATCGTATAATTTTGGACTTTGTTGCCGTCTGTGAGGAAAATAAATGGGGCTCAGAGCCTCAGAATACGGAAATCTGTATTTTTAAATATTCTTTTCCTTCTAATTCGTTATTCTTTTCAAAATAACACACTGTTATTTACTCACCAATAACACACAATTATACTTGCTTTTATTTATTGGTTTAATTCCATAATCTCTGGCTTTTTTGGCTTCCGTCGGGAACTGAATTTCAAAATAAAAATAACCGGAAACAGATGTAGGCCTATAAGGGACATTTCGAGCATCATTGCGATTGTCAACATTTCTGAGTTTAGGATGGCCGAAGACACTACACTACCCATAAACCCCAGCTATCGTTTAGGACTACAGTCCCCGTAAGGTTACACAGAGCGTCAAACAGCTGTGTGAAATGGAACGAAACCACGCCAGACTATCCAAAACTGGAATTGAACGCCCCCCCAGAACTACACATGCTGGCTATTGTGTTTCACAAAATGTTCTATGGGACGTCTCTACTGAACGTTTTCGTTTTTCCCACAATTAGAAGTTGCCAGTATTAAACACATTGGTGTTATCAAATGTAAAACATATAATTAATAAATGGGTGAAAATCGCTTGTGTCCATAATGTGCAGCATTAATACCCACATGACAGCTCATTGTTACTTTGTAATTCTACTCCACTACAATTCAGAGGTTAACCTGGTATGTTTACTCCACTGCATTTATTTGAGTTACTTTGCAGATTCTGATTAATTATGTGAAATATAAACAACCCTTAAATCAGACTTTAGTAACACCTGAGTAAAATTCAGGTAAGGTGATTGTCAAGTGCCAACAATCAGGAGAGATATTTGATAGTTGGTGCTTGAGAAGACTAAACATGTATCTGCAATTGACATGAATGGAAACGAGTAATAAAGTATATTCATTACTCGTTATTCTCTACTAATAGTTAATTAAAGACTGTATATTATGGCTATTTTGCACATCCCTTTCAAGATTTTCAAAGGTTTATTGACATATCATATACACAACTACGGTGTAGTTATGCAATGAATGAAAAACTTGGGTCACAGGTTCCTCAACAGTGCATTACAAGACATCTATCAATATGTGTGTACCTCCACCATTAAACTGTCATATTCTGCACATTTCTTATTCTATCTACATACATAAGAGTATAATTCATATGTATAATATCAGTTAAAATAAGTGCTTCAACATAGTTAACATTGCAGGAAAGCAATATATTAGACGTTAAGTACTTTGTCAGGCTTAATATTTATCTGTAGATAGATACCCCCAAAGTTTTTTTCTTATTTAAAAGAAGACCTTAATCTGTTATTTAATGTTTAAATAAAGGTGAATTCGTTTTTCTGTTTTGCTCCTCCTCCTATTAATATCTTTGTACATTCTGCACTAAACTGTTTTATTGTAGAGATCACTTATAGTATCTTCTTGATTTTTTATATTCTATATTTATACTTTCCCCCTATGAAAGTATGTACTCTTAATATTTTTTAATCAAATAAAACACAATAATTCAATAACGTGCTTTAACCACTAGGCGGTGCACACAAGGTACACACAGCCATAATAACTTTGTATTATTAGTGTAGGACACTTTTGTTTCGTACAACATCTGAAGATGTGTAGTTTTATGCATGCTTTCACATAATTTTACAGCATATTGCTATACTATTTCAGACTCAGTATTTACATTCTTACATTCAAAGAAAATCAGTAATATCTTTAAAAACTACAGTCCTTTTATATCAGCTGTGCACCGTTATGGTGTAAATATAACCTATCTGTGAATTAGATCAAATGTAAAAGTCAGCCGAATTAGTGTTGATACTGCAAGGAGACGTATTGTGTGAAGTGAAATTGAAGATGTTGTTTAATTGTTCAATATATTTATGATCCACGTCAAGTATTCAGTTTCGGCGGCATTTTCTCAGTTTTTCCAAAGGTCTTCTCATCAGGGCTCTATAAATAAAGAACTACGGCAGATCTGTAATATACAATGCAGCCGAACCGTGTATTACAATGCCGTTATGTGATGACTTTCAAAGAGAAAAGCAAGAGCGCTCGGAATTAAGTTTTATTCTTTTAAAATGTTTTCCGGATTTCATATCATATAAACACCAAATCCCAGCATGCATTGCGGCTAAAACATCCAATAAGCGAGCTTAAAACCATAGCTGAGGATCTTGGGTAATCGCTCGAAATGCCTATGTCTGTTTCCGGTTATTTTTATTTTGAAATTCAGTTCCTGACGGACGCCAAAAAAGCCCGAGATTATGGAATTAAACCAATAAATAAAAGCAAGGATAATTGTGTGTTATTGGTGAGTAAATAACAGTGTGTTATTTTGAAAAGAATAACAAATTAGATGGAAAAAAAGATTTAAAAAATACAGATTTCCGTATCCTGAGGCTCTGAGCCCCATTTATTTTCCTCACAGACGGCAACAAAAGTCCAAAATTATACGATTTCAAATAAAAGCAATAACTGTGGCTTGATATTGAGTAAGAACATGTTTTTATGAACCACACAGCTTCCGGTCTTCCTCGACCCGACCGGAGAAAAAGACGTGCGGCAGGCAGTAGAAATACATTACTTTTAAAATCGTGCTGTGCAACACGAAAAAAAGGAGCAAATCGTGTTGGTGAACACGAATCAATAGATTAAAAATCGTGTTGGTGAACACGAAATGCCGTGAGACTGGGTTGAGATAATACATATGAAAAGTATAATTTGCTCAGAGTCCAGAGACAGTTGTGGTTCGGTCCGGATCCGGACCGGAGTCCGGACTTTGAGGATGCCTGATATACACTAACAAAAATTATAATAACATTGTTTTAGGTAAGGTAACATCAGAGTGTGGAAATGTATTTTGAAAATGCTTTTCCTTAAATTAGCTTTTGCACCATGTTGGTTTGCATATTTACAAATGTATAATTTATAGGAGAACAAAGTAAGATTTAATATTGTTGTTATTTGTGAACCAAGAATGAGTGTTTGATTATAAAGAGTGAGTGCTTTTTTCAGGTTATATTGCAGTATTACATGTAATGCATTAAACTTCCGTATTAAATACTATTTAAATACAGAAAATGCTAAACACTTAAAATGTTGTTGCTCCTGCTCTTTAGTTTTTCTTGCTGTTTCAAAATGTTCATTAATTAACATTGATATGTAACAATAATTTACAAAAAAATAAATAAAGCATTACAAAATTGAAATGTAAATAAATGTTATAGACATTTT